TCCTGGATAAGGCTTGCTTTTCCTGGCACATAGTAGGCACTTAAAAGTTTATTAATTGGGTCCCTTTCTTCTCCCCCATTTCTTAACTGAAAACCAAGCTAATTTCCACCTATTCTCTCCTGCTAACTCTGATTAAGTGGTCCTTCCTGCTGAGATCAGTTTCTCTACCTATGCCCTCAATTTTAATCTTTCCTCTTTATTCCAGCAACTTGCCTCACCCATCTATCATTTCACCCCCTCTAATCATCAGTTTCTTACTACTGACTGGCTTTTTCCTACTGCCCTTTAAAGCATGCATTTTACAGATTCTTTAAAGCAGTCATTTTACAGATGAAGAAACAAGAGCAGAGGAAAGTGACTTGCCCAAAGTAATGAGGTAATGGAGCTTGAATTTGAGCCTATATCTAGTCTCTAAAAAACAAACAAAAAAAACCCCTTCAATGGACCCTGCCCTCCCTTCAAGCTATTTCTGTTCTCCTCCTTTCTGCCAAACTCCTAGAATGGATTCTCTACACTTCTTGCACCTGCTTCTTCAAGCCCAACTTCTCATTGCTTGAGATCTGGTTTCTGGACCCACCAGTTGATGGGAACTTGTCTCTAAGGTTACCAATATTCTCCTAAATATTAAATCCTATCATCTTTTCTCCTTAGTCCTCATTCTCCTTGATCTATTTGTAGCTTTTTGATACTGCTGATCACTTTCTCCTTCGGACACTTTCTTTTCCCTAGGGCTTAAAGCCAATGTTCTTTCCTACTTCACTTACCTGCCTGACCTTTCCTTTTCAGTCTCTGGATGACTCATCTCCTCCTGCCCCTTCAGGGCAGGTACATTATCAGCTCTCACAGGTTCAAGTATCACTTCAACGCAAATGACACCTACATTTATGTATCCAGTCTTAATTCCTCCACTGAACTCCAGTTCCATATCGTCAACTGCATGTTGGCTGTCTTCCTCCCAGATGTCCTATAAGTACTTCAGTCTCAACAAAACAGAAGCTATCACCTTTCTTCCTAATCTTATTGCTCTTCCAAATATCCCTATTTCTTGAAGGCATTACCATCTTCCTAATCACCCAGATTCATAACCATGGAGTCATCCCATGACTCTTTCCTCTGCCTTATACTCACCTCAAATCTACTACAGCAATCTATCACAGACTTCTCTATCCTCACAAAGCCATCATTGTAATAGCCTAGGTAAGAGGTGACAGGCCTGCATTAGGATATAATGCCTGTGTTTGTGTAGAGAAGGTGATGGATGAGAGAGTCTTCTTAAAAAACAATGGTACTCTGTTGTCTCTTTCACCAATCAGGCTCCTTCTGAATCAAATTTACTATTCTGGAAGGACATTCTAGTCAAAAATGTTAACCCATCGATCTCAATGGTACCTATGGGGTCACATTTGCTTCCTCCTGTTGGGATCTACAGTTCACCCTACTTGTGACCCTCTGCATACTCTGTGCATTAGGTACAGATGTTTGCTGATTCCTTTCTTGGATTTTTTTTGCTGTGAATTACTGGTTCTAGTAACACTCTGCCTCCTACATTGTAGTTACTCCATATAATATCTCATTTGCTGGACATAAATAGGATTTTTTTTCTTCCTTCTCAGTTTAAAATCTGATTATGAGTGTATTGGATAAACTTTTGGACTAGGAATCAGAAGTCCTGGATTCAAATGTCACCTCAGACAATTACTATGTATATGACTCCATGAAATTTACTTACTCTCTCTGTGCCTCATATTCCTCATGTGTACACTGAAAAGGTTGGACTCGATGACCACTAAGATCACTTTCAGCTCTCAGTCTAAGATTTTACTATTAGATTTTTTTTAGGACTACAAGCAAACATACTCTTTTTTTCTTTTTTTTTAAATTAATTTACTTTGATTTATCAACAATCACTTCCATAAGCTTTTGAGTTTTAAATTTTTCTCCCCCTTCCTCCCCAAGACGGTATGCAATCTGATATAGGCTATACGTATACATTCCTATTAAACATATTTTCACATTAATCATGTTGGAAGAAAGAATTAGAACCAATAGGAGGAACCACCAGAAAGAGGAAACAGAACCCAACAGAAGGAAAAAAAATAGCAAACAGTATGCTTCGATCTGCATTCAAACTCCATAGTTCTTTCTTTGGATATGGAGAGCATTTTTCATCATGAGGCTTTTGGAGATGTCTTAGATCCTCGAATTGCTGAGAAGGGTTATGTCTATCAATGCTAGTCATCGCACAACGTGGCTCTTACTATGTACAATGTTCTCCTGGTTCTGCTCACTTCAACTCAGCATCACACCATACAAGTCTTTCCAGAGGCAAACATACTCTTAGCAGCCACTGCTGGGTCTACTACATCAACTCCTGAGAAACTTATCATTGCTATCTTTTAAATCAAGACCACAAGTTCACAAATCTAGAGCTAAAGGGGCCTCAGAGACCAAAGAGGAGGAAACCAAGACCCAGAAAGGTTAAGTGACTTTCCTTTCAAGTAGTAAGTATAAGAGGTAGAATTTGAACCCAGGTCCTCAGACTCCAGAGTAAATGTTCCTTCCACTCTTGGAGCTAAGGCCAAAGAAATTGGGAGTTGAGAGTTAGGGGAGTACCTATACTTATTTGTTCAAGTTCATGGAAACAGGGGGCAGCTAGGTGGCACAGTAGATAGAGCACCGGCCCTGGAGTTAGGAGGACCTAAGTTCAAATCCTGCCTCAGACCAAACACTTGACACTTAGTGTGACCCTGGGCAAGTCACTTAACCCCAACTGCCTAAAACAAAACAAAACAAAAGAAAAAGTTCATGGAAACAGAAGTGAAGGAGAAAGGGGACCACTGGCCCTAGCATCTGGGTCAGGGGGTGGGGGAGAAGAACATGTTCCAGAGGTACCTGATGGGTTAAACAGGATAATTAGGAGTTAGCCTAAGAACCTAACTATTAGCTATAACATTTCTACAGGGAAATGTTTTTGAATACCAAGCAACAGACTTCAGACAACTTTTTAGAACATAACCCATTTTGAGTTGAGGATTGTAAATGAATGCAATACTCTCCCAGTGGAATGTCTCTAGAATGGCACTGTGATGCAGCACAGGAGGCTATGCCTCCCAAAAGACATAGTAGAAGTGCCCTATGCCTTCAATGATGCCAGAATTGAGGTAAAGGTAGCTCCTTAGCATCCCCAACTGCCAAGCTTCTTTATCTTCTAGTCAAAAATTTATTAAGAGTATACACTATATGTAAGACACTATGTGTGGTGCTGTATACAAAGACAAAAATGAAATAGTTCCTGTCCTCATCCTTACATTCTTCAGTCTTTCTGCCATGGCTTTTCTCCTTTCCTGTGTCAGTCTATTCTTCATGGGCAATCTACCAATCTCACTCACTTTCTCTAGGCTTCTCTTTACTGTTGTCCTCTCTTCAGCTTCCTGTGGCTTCTTCCACATTTGCAGACTTCAGTTTAAGAATGGATCACAGACAGTACCAGACAATTGGAAACTCCCTTATTTCCATGTGATAAACTGACCAATCACACTGCATCAAGGCATCCCTCTCAGGTCCCTGGCTTTCTTCTGTGGTGCTCCTTTGCTGCTCTGGATGTTTGGGTATCAACTCTTTGCTGTAAAAGAAGTTCTCTCTACTATACTCTAAGCCACTGAAAATAATTCAACATCCAGGTCTTCCTTTCATCCTGCCCTGTTCCCTAAAGATAACTTATGCTTTTTCTTTTTGTTTTTTGTTTTTTGAGGAAATCTGTTATGTATATACCATATTTTAACCTATAAAAGCAGTAATCTACTTTCTAGGACATACAATAACTTCTTTATAAAATGCCACAAAGATCACCTACCAGAACTTAATCACACTTAGGAAGAGGAAAGCAGTCAAAACATAAGTAGGTGGTTTTCAAGGCCTTCAACTCCCACTTCTTTCACTTGAGGTTCTTACTCTGCCTTGGGACAGGGGGCTGACCACATTCCCATGCACAATACAGGAACTACAGAATTAGCATATTTGTTATCTTGTCATTCTCACTGACTAGAACATCTCACTGTATTGCTCTGCACAACAGATGTTGTCATGGAAGACTTAATCCTTTCAGCAGCTCCAGAGCTCTCCCCATGGAGCCCTGCTACCCTGATGGTGAGTGCCTCACATGGCCAAATACATCACGGCAGCTCCAGGCAAGCTTCATTCTAACCCCCTCCCCTCACCCCCACTGCCATCTTCTAGCCAGCTGTAATGCTGTACTGCATGTCCTCTCTACCCAATCCTGCCTCGTTAAGTTCTGGAACAATACTCAAATCAATATTGCCATTGTATCAATTTGCTCTCTAGGGTTCCTTTCACCAGTCCCTGTAACTTTCCAAATCAACATACACATCCGTGGCAACCAATTCTCTATATGTGTGGTCTCTCTCTAGTAATATAAGTTAGCACTTATGTAGTATTTTAAGGCTTGCAAAGCACTTTATGTTATTTCATTTGAGTCTCACAACAACCCTGTAAAGTAGGTCCTATTATTATCCCCATTTCACAGATGAAGAAATTGAGATTCAAAGAGGTTAAGAGACTTGTCCCCTAATCACACAGCTAGTGTCTGAGGCAGAATTCAAATGCAAGTCTTCCAGGCTCCAAGTCCCATGCTAGCTTCTATCCCATTAGATGCTGCCCTTCTTAGAACATAAGCTCCTTGAGGCCAGGAAATGTTTTTGCTTTTGTGTTTAGCAAAGTGTTTGGCACATAATGGTTAAAAATGCTTTTTTGTTTATTCATTTATTCAATAGAGATACGTGTTCCTAGCTCTTAATTTAAATTCATTTTTAAAAATTACTATAGGGTTTAAATAATTTATTCTACTGAGTTAAGAGCTCTTGATTAAAACAAAAAACCTTGCTTTATAGTGACCACAGTCATAAAGCTCTCACATATCAGCATATACTTATAAAGCTTATTCAACCCCAGGGCCGTGCTCACTAGTCAGATGATTAACTCACCAAAGCAGACTTCCCCACGCCTCCTGAACCAAGGACCACAAGCTTGTACTCACGCATGGTGTGGTCTGTTCAATGCTGACAGTCTGAAAAACAGGAGGAATACCTGAGATGAGAAATAAATAAATTACAAACATATTACTATCACATTAAGAAATGGTGCTTTCTCTTAGACTGAGGGGAGTGAGAGCATATGGAAAACTACACCTATGCAGCTAGGTGGCACAGTGGCTAGAGCACTAGGACTGGAGTCAAGAAGTTCTGAGTTCAAATTATGGCCTCACACTTACTAGTTACGTGACCTTGGGCAGGTCATTTAACCCATCTGCCTGGGTTTCCTCAACTGTAAAATGGGAATTATAATAATAGCACCTACCTCCCAGGGTTGTGGTAAGGATTAAGTGAAATAATACTTGTAAGGTGCTAAGCACAGTACCTGGCCCATGTACTCTGTTATTATTATTATGACATTACAGTTAACATAAATTCATAAGAGGCCTATGATTTACTGTTCTAAAGATCATCCATCTAACTGAAGTTCACGAGTCAATTTAGCTTGTAACACATGCAAAAATGTTCTGTCAAGCAGGACCATAAAAACCAACATGGCCATAGATCTAATTCTAAGACAGTCATACGTTTAAAATATAATACAAATTATTTTTTAAAATAAATTATTCACATAACCTAGTATTTGCTCAAAATATAATCTACCAGCTTTATTTAGGATTCCTTGAAACAGCTGGAGATTGGTTTTGGAGACTGAAATTGGAGACTGAGCAATACAAGTGACTACTAATCAAGGCTGTTATTCCTTTTGTAAATACGTTGAAACACTGAAATTCTGACTCTCAAATTTTGTAATTCTGTTAGATTATAGGAGATTATATTAAACTCCACTGACAATTATTTGTAAACTAAATAGCTGAATATGTTACATCTGTTCAAAACCTGAAGAGGGGGACAAAAAAAAATGGAGTAGTTTAAACAGCTAATTTTATAATTAAGAGGTTTAGAATAGAGATTTTAAGGAAAGCTATCAAAAAGAGGAAAGAGAACAAGAAGGTTTATCATAATGCTCCTTAAATAGAGAAAAACAGGATAGAATAGATTATTGCGTATGTGAACAAAGCATTACGAATGGCACCCCTTGCCAACCATCTCAATATCTAGGTAATACTATGAATGAGCATGAAATATTTCCTGACAAATGTTAACAATTCAGAGTCTGTTGTTTTTGATATCACTCCTAAACTTCCCCCAAATATCGACATATATGACATAGACCTGAGTTTGATTCAGCGTCAGACACTTAGTAGCTGTGTAACCCTGGGCAAGTCACTTCATCTCTCTAAGCCTCAGTTTCCACATCTAGAAAGCTGAAATAGTAAACAGCACCTACCTTCCAGGGTAGTAGTGAGGATCAAATCTGATAGAGATACATAGCTGACAAAATCTTTTTGCAACTCTTAAAAGAGCTTCGTAAATGGTAGCTATTATTATTACATGGGCAACAGGCATGTGTTTAAACAGTGATGTTTAAATTATCATTATTATTTTATGAATTTTGTTCATAAATGCATATGACATTTGAGATACCTATGAAACCTTCTGATATGAATTACTGCTAGTTGATGAGAAGGCTGCTGTATAGTTCACTTGAGTGACTGTGCTACATATCTGAGAGCTGTCAACATAGAAGTATTAGTTAAATTCACCAAAATAGTGCAGCCTCTAGGCACTAGAATCAGAGGTTCCCAAAGTGGACAATACCACCCCTGCTGGGGGCTCTGGAATGATGGGGAGAGGGGTGCAAGGTAGTAGTCTTGGGTGCAACTGGGGGAAGTTGAATAAAAATAAGGGGACGGTGGAGCATAAGAAGAGAAGATAAGAAAAATGTGAAAACCCATTCATACATATTTCATCTGTTGTGTAACAGTTAAAGTCGTAGTGATGACATTATTTTCCAAATAAACACACAAAACACAAGGTATAACCAATCAGTGGTCAAGTCCTCTGGCAAGTCTTAACAGGTGAATTTGTATCGCACTGTCTGGAAGTCCAACATGTACTGGCAGGAATATGTGCCTGTAATGACATTTAAAATACGATAGGGGCAACTAGGTGGCGCAGTGAAAAGAGCACTGGCCCTGGAGTCAGGAGGACCTGAGGTCAGATCTGGCCTCAGACATACTAGCTGTGTGACTGAGCAAGTCACTCAATTGCCTCATCAACAACAAAAAAAAAAGAGGATACTATACAGTTACATGATGCAATATTGCATCATCAAAATTTCAATGCAGGAAAAAGCCCACAAATTTACAATAAATTATTAAATTTAAGATGCATCATTTAAAAAATATATGTTTTCTATTTTTTTGAAATGCTGCAAACCTCAAAAAACCACTGAAGCATTAAAGATTTCCCGGGGAGTGCTGAGTAATTTTTTTTTTAAAGGGGGTGGTAGGCCAAATAAGTTTGGCAACCTCTGCACTTGATGATCCTTGAGGTCACTTTTAGTCTTCTCTGTTGAATGAATTCTTAACCTTTTTGTATAATGGATTCCTTTAGCAGTCTGGTGAAACCTATGCACCATTCCTAAGAATAACATGTTTAAATGTACAAACTAAAAAAACACAGAATTACAAAGAAAAACAATTTTGGGAGAAACAGTCATCAAATTTTTAAGTTCATAGACTCCTAGATAAGAATCACAGGATGAGGAACACCAACTCTATGGGATCAGTTAGTAACATTTCAGTGAATAAGGATTAAGACAGCTATTTTGTCAACTTCTAAAGGTATGCCTTTTGTATACATCTAAAGATTATAAAGACTTTATTCTGGATCCACTGTTTCCATATTCATACAGATTGATAAACTTTGTTTTTCTTGTAAACAAAGCCACAGGCTAAATCTTCAACTATGGCTTAAGTCTGGAAGGGGAAAGAGGAGCAAATATCTAGTCAAAGAGACATTTAGAGTGGCACAAAAAACCCAAAAGATATAGTAAGAACAAGATAAACTATGAGGCATCAAAACACCAGGGTAGTCTGAGCTGTAGAACCAAGGAAGGGAGGAGATCTGAGTCAAATTAAGTAAAGTTCTCTGAGGCCTCTATGTGCTATGAAATTTGATGAGATCTCATATGCGTTCCTTAAAATGGCCACATCTAAAATAACTCTGAAAGACTTAAGAAATCTGGGTCATTACAACGACTAATTATCTGTCCAAAGGACAGATGATGAAGCATGCTGTCCAATTCTCAGAGTGCAGACTGAGATATATATTTCTGGACATGGCCAATTTGTTTTGCTTGAATATGCATTATTTTTACAGTGGTTTTCATTTCCCGCTGCTCCCTTCCTTCAATGGGGCAGTGTGGAAGACAGAAAATGTTTCTTTCTTAATATGATAAAAAAAATTTTTAATGCACACATTTCACAATGTTATACAATGTAGCAACATTTCTTAGAATGGCTTGGCACCCTATATTTCTACCTCTTTTTTTTTTTTTAATGTGTCAGCTAAGTGATAAGAAGACTTGCTGCCAACAGACATGAAGGGAAATGTTTAAGACAGGTAGACCACTCTAGGTTCCAATCTCTTTTCAAGCCTCCACTAAATCGACATACTAAACAATATATAAATCTATTCTAATAATCCATACATGTGTATTTTCACAAAGCACAGCTTGATATTGTTAAATTTGTATTTCAGGGCAATAATATATCCTGACAAAGCCAATTTATTCTGAGTACTATTCTGCAATAGCAGTTCAACTCTGCCCGCCCTTTAAGTTAAATGGCAAAATATTAAAATGCCAAAGTAGTTTTTCTTTAAGAATCTAGTATCATACATTTAAAGTTGAAAGGAATCTTTAGAGTCCATCAACTCAGATTCCTTCATTTTACAGAAAAGGGAACAGTGGCTGAGAGAGATTAAATGACTTGCCCTGGGTCACATAGTGTGTGAGTGGCAACTCCAGACTCAGCAGTATTTAAACTGGGCCCACCTATCTGTTACTTGAATGAAATAGCATTTTAATTCAGTCAAAAAAATCAAAAACAAAACAAACAAACAAAATCCAAACATTAAGAGCCTAATAATGTAAAGGAACCATAATAGGTTCTAATACGAAAAGCAATAATCCCAAACTCCCAGAGAATATAGAATAGGGATGATATGAGGGAGGTAGTATAGTATAGTAAAAAGAATTCTGTATTAGGAGCTGGAAGATCTGACCTGGAATCTCTGCTTTGCTACTTAATAACTATACGACTTTGGGCAAGTCACAACTCATCTAAGCCTCATTCTTCACCTATGAAAATCAGCTAGTCAATAAACATTTATTAAAGACCTACTATGTGTCAGGCACCATACTAAGAAAGGTAAAAGATTGTTCCTGCTCTTGAAAACTCACAAACTAATAGGAGAAACAACATGCAAATATCTATGTGCAAACAACAGAATGAATGGGGAATAATCAAGAGAAGGAAGGCACTAGAATGAAGAGGAGACAGGAAAGGCTTCCTGTAGAAGGTATATTTTAATTGGGGCTTCAAAGAAGCCAGGAGGCAAAGATGAGAAGAGAAAGAATTCCAACCAGGGGGAAAGTCAGTGAAACTGCCCAGAGTCAGGAGATGGAGTGTCTTGTTTAAGGAAAAGGAAAGAGGAGAGTGTTACTGGATCCAGCAAAAGAGATCCACAGGTAAGTACCATGAAAACCTAGAGAGAAGAAAGCAGAAGAGGATGACCAAAGTGATAAAGGATGCACAGTCAAGAAGGATTAGAATTAAAAAAAGATCACTATATTAGGCAGTTAAGATAACTGTTAGCAACTTTGGACTGTAGAGTTAAGAAGCGAGAGGAAAGAAGTGGAGATATTTATTACAGACTGCCTTCACAAGGAATTTAGCCACAAAAGGAAGAAAAAATACTGGATAAAAGGGAAAAGAGATATGGGATAGCTAAGGGGATGGATAGGTCAGGTAAGGGTTTTTGAGGATGGGAGAGACAGGTGCGTTTGTAGGCAGTAGGGAGACATCTAGTAGACAGTGAGGGACTGAAGATAAGTGACAGTGGAGATGCTAGAGGAGCACAATA